CTTTATTTAACTTTACATATTTTGCATAACCATTACATATTTTGAGAAATCTATGATTTTTTATTGTGATAACTTAAATTCACACAAGTATATAAACCAAATCCCACATGTTGGTTATGCCATGTAGTATTTTTTGAAATATGTCAAATTGTGTATTTCTATGCTTAAAGCTTACTAGTGCCCTTTCCCTTGTCCAGGACAAAAAGATTCAAAGAAAAAGAAATTTGTAGTTTTAAAATCTCCCACAAAGAACACACCAGGCCCAGGTGATCTTTATAGATTATTTATACCATTTTTTCCCCTAAAATTTATAACTCTCTTCCACACTCCAAAAATAGAATTTTTTCTAATTTATTGAATATATTATAACTACATATTAAAAAAGGCAAAACTAGACCAATGATAACCAAATTTATAAAAAAGGAAACCAATCTATTTCATGTAAAAAACTCTAAGTATTAGTGAACTGGACCCAGTTATGTATATAAGAAGATAATGCCATATAATCGAATTATATTTTTCCTATAAATAAAATGATTGTTTTTAAATTTCAGGAAATCTAAAAATCTATTCCCACATTAATATATAGGGAAGAAAAGGCATATAATAGTTTTTTAAAATGTAATAAAACTCAACCTACATTCATAACTATAAATAGATAAAAAATTTTTAATTTTTTAATGGAACACCGTGAGATACAATTACAGACTTACACACTTTTGTGATTACGTTTCAGTCATATAATGGTCGAGTACCCATAATCTGATAAAAGATTAAAGCAGATATTTTAAATAAGAAATGAGACACAGTTTTCTTTTTTGTAGCTATCTTATTTCACTTTATTATTTTTCCATTTTACTTAAACACCGTGGTTTACAAAGTTGTTCATGATGCATTTGTTACAGGCATTCAGTATCCCAACCCCAATCCCATTACCTGTGACCTTCCTTCCACCATTGTCCCCATTCGCACACACACCCCTCAAGCCTGCCCCTATAGTAGGCCCCAAACAATTTATTTTACATTGCTTGTTATTACTAAGTGGCTAATGGAATTATCAAAAAAAAAGTACTTTAGTAAAAAAAATTTTGAAAATTGTTACACCTCAGCATGAAAATTGTGCCATGAAAATTGTAAAAGAAAAAAATTATTATTTACTGTAATATAAACAAGTCATAATACAATTACTTGTAGTAATAGGAAATTGAAGGAAGGTACCTGAGTTTATAGTTGATATACATCCATTATAGAAATATAGAAAACGAATATATTCTTTATAGCAAGGTGCATAATGTGTGTCACTTATATCAATAAAGCTGAGAAGAAGATTAATATACAAAGGTCAGTTGCATTTCTACTCACTAGCGATCAACAATAGAAAATGTTATATAAACAATTATATCATATAAAATAGTATCCAAGAAAAAAATGTCTTAGAATTAACTGATTCAAAATTAATTAATTTATAATTAATTATGGACTGGAGTGATAGCACAGTGGGTAGGGCATTTGCCTTGCAAGCGGCCATATGGCCGACCCTAGTTCGATTCCTCCACCCCTCTCGGAGAGCCCGGCAAGCTATCAAGGGTATCTCGCCCGCACGGCAAAGCCTGGCAAGCTACCCGTGACGTATTCGATATGCCAAACACAGTAACAGTTGTCACAATGGAGACATTACTGGGCCCACTCGAGCAAATCGATGAACAACGGGAGCACAGTGACAGTGACAGTGATAATAAATTATATTACAAATCTGCAATAGATTTGTAAGATATGAAGACAGTTATGAAATTTCAATGGAAATCTTTGAAGATGATTAAAGTAAATGTACACACATATCGCAAACATGAACAGTAGACATAAAAATGTATTTCTCTAGGGGCAGAGCAAGAGTACAGTGGGTAGAAAGCTTTCCTTGCATGCAGTGGTCTAGGTTCGATCCCAGCATCCCATATCATCCCCCGAGCTTGCACTTCCGAGTGCAGAGCCAGGAGTATTGCTGAGCCAAAAAAAAAGACCTCTCCATATTGACATCCACATCCTATGTAATATGTAGTATCAGTGAAAATTCCAAAAGCTTTCCTGACCCTAAAAGTTATAAGGAAGCATAGCACTGTAGCACTATCTTCCCGTTTGTTCATCAATTTGCTAGAGCGGGCACCAGTAACATGTCCATTGTGAAACTTGTTGTTACTATTTTTGGCATATCGAATTCACCACGGGGAGCTTGCTAGGCTCTGCTATGTGGGCAGGATACTCTCGGTAGCTTGCTGGGCTCTCCAAGAGGAATGGAGGAATCAAACCCAGGCCAGCCACATGTAAGGCAAACACCCTACTCGCTGTGCTATCGCTCCAGTATAAAAAATAACCAAGGCATCTCTCAATGTTTTGCTCTACCAGACATTAAGACATATGACCCTGTTTTAATTCACACTGTGTTAATGGTGTAGTAAAGAAAATTGACCAATAGATAAATAGGAACTTTTCTAATGTTAGTATTATGGCATATTAGTGAGAAATGGAGAGGGGCTATCCAGTAAATGGACCTGAAATAAATTAGAATAACTGCTATTGTATTGCTGTCAAAAAACAACCACTACAAATGAATCAAGGACTTATATATTAAAAACTGAAACTTTTAGTAGAAAATGTACATCAGTATCTTTTAGAGTGGACTGGAGCGATAGCACAGCAGGTAGGGCGTTTGCCTTGCATGCGGCCAACCCGGCTGACCCGGGTTCAATTCCTCTGCCCCTCTTGGAGAGCCTAGAAAGCTACCAAGATTATATTGCCTGCATGGCAAAGCCTGGCAAGCTCCCCGTGGTGTATTCGATATGCCAAACACGTCTCGCAATGGAGACGTTACTGGGCCCGCTCTAGCAAATCGATGAACAACAGGACAGTGCTTACAGTGCTTATCTTTTGGAGTGTGTAAAAAGTGCTTGATTAGCAAGACATCAAAGGCATTACGGTGAAAGGGTCAGGCATTTCACAAAAGAGGATTTACCTTTGGCTAATAAACATGATAATATGTTCAATTGCAAAAATCTTCAGGGAACTACAGGCCATGACCTCAGGGAAGTAAAGCAGTCTGACAATAATAGTTGTTGGAAAGGCTATGATTAAAAACCATTGCTTAGTCATTGCTCTTGGGAGCATTATTTGGTGCAGCTACTTTGGGGAAAACATCTAATGTTATCTTGTAAAATTAATAATTTACATAATCTGCCACCAAGAAATTTCACTCTTAAGAAAGTTCCCAAGAGGAACCATTGCAGATGTATAGGAGGAGATGAACACAACAATGTGGATAGCACTGTGTAGGGCAGCAGAATCCCAGAATCAACCCAAATGCCTTTGAGGGTAAAGTGAATAGACTCTGGTGTAGTCTTAATAGCTTTCCATATTTTATCCTTTGGACTTTTAATGTTGTGAAATATTTTGAAAATTATTGAAATGGCAATGTGTGTGTGTATCACTTTGTTAAAGGCATGTTCACCAGTTTCCTCATTTATGTTGATAAATTCTCCTGTGCTCGATTCTTTCGCTTCCTTATCTAGGCTCTCTGTAAGAATTATCTTGTAAAATTATCCTATGGGAATGTCCTATCAACATTCCCATGACCTTTTATTTTATTTCTTCTTTTATTACCTTATATTCAAATTTCACTTACAGCAGTTATCACCTGTAAATTTTTTTGCTGCACTTGAATCCTTTTTTTTTTTTTTTTTTGGCAAATTCCCGGGGAGATTAGGTACTTGGTTTATTTCTAGCTCTTAGCTATTATAAATAGCTCTGCAATGTTTTATTGTTTTTGTATTATTAGGGTAGAAACCTAGTAGTTGAACTGCTGCATCTCATAAAAGTTCCATTTATAATTCTTTAAATACATTTTCATAATGTTTTTCCATAGAAGCTGAACAGTTTATATGCCAATAGCAACAAGTACATCTTGTTCTCTACATCCACACCAGCACTTGTTTTTATTTTCAATATTTTTTTACAAGGACCATTCTTACTGGTGCAAGGTGATAATTCGTTGTTTTGATTTACATTTCTCTGATTGGCAGTACTGCTGAGCGTTTTTTTTTTCTTTTTAATATTCTTGCTGGCCTCCATATGTCTTTTCTGGAGAAATCTCCAGCTCTCTTTCCTGCCCACTCTACCCCAATTTGTTGACAGGGTTGTTTGGTTTCTGTTGTTGTTAAGTTTTATGAATTCTTTTTATACCATGGATATTAACCATTTGTTAGGTCTAGAGTGTGTGAATATTCTCTCTCATTTAGTATATCTTCTTCTGTCTTTTTGTTTTAATTCTAGTTATTGTTCTACCAGATCCAAACTTCTTGGCCAAGATTTCTCTACTATTCAAAATTAGGATCAAAAAGTATTTAATTTTTAAATTAAATTTTTTAATTTTTAAAAATTTAATGGTGTACCCAGTCTATCACAAATCATTTGAGACAATATTCATGTATTTCTTGGCATATTAAATGGAATATCATTTTTTAAAAATAAACTGAAAAATGATCAATTTTAATACAATATAGTAGTCAACTAACAGCTTTCAAATCAAATAACTTTATTCTTGGACTTAACTGAATTCAGAAATTTTTACTTAGACATTTTAATATTATATAGGTTTGGCCATAGAGTTAGACCTAATTAGACTTTGGGAACTCTATTTAAAAGAAAACATAAAAGGGGGCCTTTGGATTCATGAAACTTCTGTGCCTAGTTCCTTTGCATATCTCTCCCATATCTTCTTTGCATAACTTTGAATATCTCCCCCATAAATTGATATATTGTAAAGGAAATTTGTCCAGATGTGTGAGTCATGTGAGTACTGGGAGTGTGCTCCAAAGGCCTTCAGAATTTTAGCTATTATCCAGTATTGTCATTTTTCTATATAACTTACTAATTTATAAAAACAATAGTAAAATATGTGAGATTCGATCAAATTTTCTATGTTTTTTTTAACACCAAAATTCATTGTTTAGGGCAAAATAGCTGCTTCAATGAGACGAAGCAATGTGTTAGAAATGATGAAGGAGTGGAAAAATCGCCCAGAAAGTGATGAGGAAAACATAACAGATGAAAAGGGTTACAATCCTGCTCAAGAAAAATCAGGAAGTGACCAAATCAAAGGAAATGACCATAATATCATTAGCCCTACAAATGAAGAGGAGGCTGATCAGGTAGGAAGAAGTTATTTCATTTCTCTAAAAGGTAAAATACATTGCTGACATTTTAAAGGGTTTGGGGGAGAAACTGTCTCTTTTGATGTTCGTTTGTAAAATTAGTTAAGCTCTGACCTCCAGACTCATGATTTAATAATAATGTGACTTCAATGTTTTTCTTAATATCCAAAATTAGTACATTTCAATCTTAAGAAGATAGTACAGAGGACTGAAAGCATTTCCAATGAGGAACAGACAGTAAATATTTTATTCTCTGTGGGCCACAGTAGTCTCCATTATAGTCTCTGTTATATAGTCTCAAGTGTGATGCAATAGCATGATAATAGCCATCAACAGTAAATGAATGATTCTGTTTCAGCAGAACTTTGTTTACAAAAACAGATGGTATGATAGATTTAGCCCAAGGTCAGAGTTAATCCTCTTTGTGATTTATCAGGCTATACACTTCTAAATGGGCTTATTAATTACCCAGGAAAAGATAGCACTTTATCAAGTTATTTGCTCCTAATTTTACGAGAGCAAGCTCTTTATAAATTTTTATCATTTTAGCACATTAGATAGGAATGTGGTTTTATTCTTTTGGTCTTTAATAATTAGACATCCTACTAGTGGAGACTGTGTTCACTTCTGGGTTACCGAGACATTTGTGAGAAGTTGCTATTTTTTTCATTCTCTGAAAAGCCTAAAAATAAACTGAGTGAAGGAGGGACTGAGACAGTCACAACTTGGCCTCACCCAGGACAGTGTAGCATTGAAGCCCTACTCCTTTACACTGAGGCTTTTGTCCAACACCTGCAGAAAGGGACCTAGTCAAAAGGTCTTCTGGTTGATTTTTATGCACTGGAAATTACATCTGATAGTCACTTACTATTTATTAAGCTTAACATTTTAGTTATTAAGGTGCTTTTATAAATAATCCTATTTCCACAATATAGACTGTTTATTAAATCCCCTTTGTCTTCTCTAGTCTGTTAACAATTCCTGCAATATTTAGAGCAGCCATCACATCCTCTTGCCTTGCACATGGCTAACCCAGGTTAAATCCCCCGCATGCATATGGTCCCCCAAATCCCATCAGGAGCAACCTTGAGTACAGAGCAGGAGTAAGCTCAGAGCACAGCCAGTGTGGCAGAAAAAGAAAATAGAAATCTTAAAATCCAATTTTTAATAACTGGATGATGGAATGCAGTGATTCAAAGGGAGAATACCTAGATCACCCTTGTTCTCAGAGCAGAGAGAGGGGAATGAAAGAAATAGAGTGGAGGGGAAAAGGAGAAGAGATGAGAAGCCAAGGGGAGCAGGTGTCAAGGGGATTCAGTTGCATGGGTGGTGTTAAGGAATGATCATTAAACATCCAAACCATTGAGTCAACAACACTGAAATTATGAGACCCACACTTTAATAACTAAAGGTGCCTATCAAGATGAAAGGCTGGGACAAGGGACGGGGTTATGGGAGGGAACCTGAGAACATTGGTGGAGGAAAGTTGACACTGGTGGTGAGATTGGTGCTGAAACATTATATGCCTAAAATTCAACTCTGAATAAATTTATAAATCACAGTGCTTTAGTAAAATAAATAAATATTTTTAATTTCTCTTTTTAATAAAAACATTTAAAAATTTTTAAATGAACACAACCAGTAGTCAAAACAACGAAAAACTCAACAAAGCTAGTGTGTGTAACTTTTGGAAAAAGTTATTAGTAACAAGTTATCACTGATCTATTTTAATAGTCATTACCGATTATCAACAAAATTGCTGAATTTCAAATTAAGTTTTAAATTCTAAAAACCCCTAAAAATCCTTGTTTGAATTTCTTTACTGAACATAATTCCAAGATTGTTCTTTAATGGTCTGGACATTTTATATATGTATACAACATAATACACATGCTCTCTCATGTATGTACACATGCCCTCCACACAAATATTTTCATTTTTATTTACAGACATACCCATAGGTGTACATATATATAAGTACATGCTAGGCACTTTTTTGTCATCTTGAATCTTAGCTGTGGTTGTCATGAAGTGTGATATAAAATATCTTTGTGGAACATATGATTAGTTGTCTGTAATATCTTTTTTTATTGCTCTGCTGTGCTTTTCACACCTCTACCTCCTTCCCTGCAAGCCACACACGGTGGAGAAGAGGAATTAGAATTGGAGGTACTTGTAGCTGCTAGAAGTATAAGAATATAGATTTCTACTCATCAACAGGAAGAACCTTTCACAACAAGGCTTACCAGTATTAGTTGGACCATGAATAGAAAACCCTACCTCCCAGTCATTTGGTACATTCATGCAGGGTCTAGAAAGCTACTTATTAGAAAAACCTTAGCAAGAATTCTTCTAAGATGAATAGGAGTTTGTCATAGAGGTTCTCCAAGAAATATTTGTTCCTTAAGTTTTAGCTATGACATTGTGAGAGAAGTACCTTATTTTATTTAAATTTTATGTGTAAAAGATTATGCCATAAAAAGACTTCTCATGCATTTGACATATTAAGCTTTTTCATGAATGTTTATAAATAAATGTTACTTTGTTGCTTATATTGAAGTTGATTTTACACTAAGAAATTACTTGGGTTTTTTATTGTTGTTGTTTTCTTGCAAATCTCCATTAACAGTAAATGCAGTACTAAAAGTTCTAAAGTAATAACTGAAAATGTGATTGGCCATTTACTCTCAAATCCACACAGGAGTCACATTATAATTAATGTTCATAAAAGTGAGATTTTAATTTTAATAAAATTATTCTATAAGCACTGTAATATTACCCATGGGAAAAATTGTTATTTGTTAAGGTTATATTACATGGTTAATTTGTTGTGATTATATAAAAAATTTGTATGTACTAAATTAAGAAAATGTAGATGGGTCTTCATTTAAATATTTGGAATTTGGCTATAATTGCCATTGAAATCTCCCAGCATTTTCAATTTATCATTGTGTTGTCTTTTTTTTTTTTTTTTTGGTCACACCTGGCTGTTCTAGGGGTTTACTCCTGGCCCGATCATTCCTTTCTCTGGTGGGGGTGCTTCCTAGGTATAAAGAGTACCCAGGGCCCACAGGCAACTCGCAGGCATTCAGGCCATAGGTTCTACTCAAGGATTCAATGATGAGATGCTGCTTTGATCCTTCAAGTTGGACATACCCTGGCCATGTGGTGCTAGGGATAGAACCCTGCTACAGCATAAGCCAAATATGCACCCTTACTGCTGTACTGTCTCCTGGTCTCTCATCAAATTGTCATTTTTTCCCCCTTGACAATCTCATAGATCCACATAAAACACCTGATTTGATATATTTTCCGTAACAAGGTAATCATGCTTTTAGATAAGTGGCAGGGCTCTTGTAAAACTAGTAGAAAAAGCGAAGATTTATTAGAAACAAATGTGCTCGAATTAAGCACCTTTATATTTACCTAAGCTACTCAGTTCTAAATGCCCAGGACATCATGGAAAAATGCTGCCAACATTATCTCATTGTTCACTGTATATCACAAATTTGGTTCCAAATTGTTGGCATTTGATGATGTCCTTTTTCTTCACCTTTATATCCCCAATTTTTAGCCTATCTTAGGTAATCATGTGCTCAGGGATGGAAACAATTTTCTCTTTGGTGATGGTGGTAACTGTGTACACCAAGATCATACATGTCTACACTTATAAATATATTATCTCAATAATAATAATTTTTTAAATGTTCTCATGTATATCTTTCATTTTACAAGCTGGTTTCATATAGATATTACTTGTGTTGTTAGTAATCTTTTAAATTCTCTTCAATTGGTTCTTAATCTTTTATTTTATCAGGAAAAAACAAGACTTTAACACTTACAATAGCAGTTCCTCATCCTAATTTGAACCAGCAGACTATTGCTTAGTTTGGTAATATACCTTTTAATGTTTCTCAGTGAATTCTTGTGCGTGCCATAATACTTTGATTATTTATTAAACTCAGAAAACAAGTGAATAGAAATTAATGTCTAATTAAAATACTTTCTTATAATCATGGAGAAAGAGACTAAGAAACTCTGGATGTGTTAGACATGTATTTGCATAAAAAGGTTCCTTTTTTCCTAATGGAGAAATTTACGGTAATTAAAGTAGGGCCAGAGAGATAGTACAGCGGGTAGGGCATTTGCCTTGCATGTGGCCGACCCAGGTTCAATCACCGGCATCCCGTATGGTCCCCCAAATACTGCCAGGAGTTATTCCTGAGTTCTAGTGCCAGGAGTAACCCCTGAGCATCGCTGGGTGTGACCCAAAAAGCAGAAATAAATAAATACTATGAAAAAATATGGAATGAACATTAAAAATAGTAAAGTGTCTAGCACACTATTAAATATATTTGCTTATGAAAATAGAAGATTTTGTGGTATTGACTTTCTTGTATTAGTCATGATTGTTATGGAAGATTATACATATGATTTGTTGTTACTGTTTTTGGCATATTGAATACATCACAGGTAGCTTGCCACGCTTTGCTGTGGGGGTGAGGTACTCTTGGTAGCTTGCTGGGCTCTCCGAGAGGGGCAGAGGAATCGAACCCAGGTTGACCGCATGCAAGGCAAATGCCTTACCCGCTGTGCTATCGCTCATAAGGGATGTGATGTAAGCAATATACATATATATAGGCAATATATATATAGCCAATACTTAATCTAGGCTTGACAAGAGAAAGACTTTGAAAAATTACTTTAACATATTCATGTGTTTCAAAGATTAAAAATTTTAAATTGAAATAACATTGAAAGGAAACAATTGATTGTGGTGTGTAGATGGAATTTTATGTGAAAAAATAATTTTAGTGGCATTTTATTTGTGTGGGATAAACAGTTTTGCTCTTGACAGATATCTCTTACCCTTACTTTTTGAGTCCTGTGCATATTTGGCGGTGCTTCCACAATTTTGCTACACCTTTTTTCTCCAATACTGAAGCATTAAAATATGGTATATATTCCTAAGCACTGTGCTTCAAATATCTTGATGGCTAAAAGCAAAAGCTTCAGACTGAAGCTGTGAGGACTCATCTTTTGACTTCGCCACTTTTAGGCTCCATGAGCTTGAGCAAGTATCTCGGTCTCTATTTTCTCTATTCTTTCTTTCTTTCTTTCTTTCTTTCTTTCTTTCTTTCTTTCTTTCTTTCTTTCTTTCCTTCCTTCCTTCCTTCCTTTTCCTTTCTTTCTTTCTGCCTCTTTCAAGGCTACTTTGGTATAGGTGTGAGAATAAGCTACTTAACAAGCTAAGGAGTATCATTTTCAAAGGTCCAATCTACACATCCTTTGAGTTTGGTAGCATATGGGTACTGTGATAGGTTGGATTCCTTTTTCTGATTCTTTAATCCCTCTGTGTAAGGTATTTATACATTAATAATTTTTTGCTTTGTGACTTTGCCTTTCAGAACAGATAGAAGATATTTTCTTGTCCCATTAATGTTCTTAGTTTTCTTTAGCTTTTGGATCATAATAGATGTGATGTAAGCAAAGACTGTCAAAGCAACTATAATATCTTGGCTTATTTTTTTGCATTTGTGAAGTCTGTGGTGAGAGTAGGCCTGCAGAGAACTCTAGTTCCCAGAATTATGTAGCTTTGTAGAATAAAC